TATCTTATCAGTTTAGTAGGATAGATTAGTAGGGAGTCTTCCTAATTAGCAAGGAGTCTTCCTAAAAGTAGGACTCTTATCTCTTGTAATCTCCTATTTAAGGAGCTGAGAATATTGAATAAGATCATGGAAAGTTTCAGTCAAGAAAGAGAGCAGAGGAGAGTTTGGTGATCTCTTGAACAAATCGCCATTAAGGCGCCAAGATAGGTCCCTCAAGAAAAGGGAGGAACAAGGGAAAACAGGAGGTTTTCCCCGTGGACTAACCCGTGACGAGATCCTATTCAGTGGGCCCATAACATTGGGAGGGGGAGGAGGGGGCAAGAAATTTCACTTGGTAAATTGGGAAAGAGTATGTAGACCAAAGGAGAGGGGAGGTTTGGGTCTGAGAAGGGTGAGGGTTTTCAATAAGGCTTTAGTTGGGAAGTGGTTATCGAGATTTGGTTTGGAGAGCGAGGAAAATTCACTATGGAGGAGAGTGGTGGTGAGGTTTGGGTGGGAGCCAAGGGAGAAATGGATCATGAAGTTCAATCAGGAATTCAGACTCTAACATGCTTTTCAATAGGGGATGGAGCAAGAATTAGGTTTTGGGAGGGTGATTGGTGTGGGGCAGGCAAGTTGAGTGAGTTGTATCCCAGGCTGTATAGGCTGGCTGAGTCTGAAGTAAATGTTAGTCACTGTTATGAAAGAAGGGGGGAACAACTGGTTTGGTGCCCAAAGTTCAAAGACCTTTATTGGATACAGAGGTTGATAAATGCATTACATTGCTGGAGAAATTGGAGGGGGTGAAAGTTTCAGCTCAGCCAAGGGATGAACTATGGTGGAAAGAATGCTCAAATGGGAAATTATCCGTGAAGTCTTGCTATCTTGCTCTCAGTACGGACCATACAGATTCAAATCAAACTGTTGGTGTGTGGGGAAATCTGAGCCCTCCCAGGGTTGAAGCCTTTGCATGGCTTGTGGCTATGGATAGCATCTTGATTGTTGACCATTTGAAATCCAAGGGATTAATATGGCTAATATGTGCTTCGTGTGCAAAGAGCATTGCTAGCCATTTATTCTTCTCTTGCAAGATTTTTTTTTTTTTTTTGTGTGTGTGGAGGTTGTTTACTGCATTGTTTGGAGTAAGAGACTTTCAACCAAGTTCAACTGCAGAGATTTTTTCTTCATCGCCAAAGATAAGAGGAAACAAAAAAGCAAGGTGATTTGGAGCTGTGTGCCCAGGAATATGCCAAATGAAACAATCCCTGCCCCTTAATTTTTGGACCAGAGGAATATGTATGTATGTATGTATGTATTTATGTATAGTAAAACAATGAAGTAAGATATACCTAATGTTATTTACTTAGTTTTAAATGAACTAGATCCATAATTATCTAAAAGCACAAGTTGAATTTAATATCTTGCAATTGGTCTTTTAGAAAAAATTATGGTGATTACTGAAAAGAAAAGAGAGGAGGGGGAAGAAAACTTAATGGCAACATTAGACACCAATTTAAGGTTAAGGCAAGATATTGACAACTAATATAACTAAAACTAAAGACTGATTAATGCTCAAAGATGAATGCAAAAATCATTCAATTGTAGACTTAAAATTCATAAACACGATATGGATTTTCCTTAAATAGAAAAGTAAAATGTGTGACTATGAGAAATATAGCCTAGATCTGCCACCAACAAGATGCTACCAATACAGCTTCCAACATGATCTACAGCCGCCCATTTCAAACATGTTTTGTACTTGTATGTTGCCATTGATAGGGTTGTACCTTTGAGATGGCAATCATGTTTGAGATGTGTGGCCATAGATCATGTTGGAAGCTGTGTTGGTTGCATACCATAGGTAGCAGATCTGATGCTTGAGAAAAGCTAGTGCTTTGAGAAAGTATTTCTTATATCCACACATCCAGAAAACTCTGCTGGGCCAGTGAGTTATTAATTTTGTTTTAATCTACTAGGTTCCATGTAAGAATTCTGGATGTGTGGTGGAAGGTGTATTTGTAGTAGCTGCAGGAGTAAAGAAGATCATATCCCTATCTTACTCATTAGTACTAGGAGAAAACTTGATAAATAAGTCTCACCTCTGAAACAAATGCCTTGCAGCTCCAAACAAAGGCCCCCTGGAAATTATCATTTAAGAGTTAGTAACCAAACCTAGAATAAAGCACATTCAACTAGTGTTAAGCCTTATGTGGGTAACTATTTTGATGAGAATCTTATGTAGGTTACTTGTGCAAAGGCTATGAATCCATTAGACCATTACTACTTTCTATTTTCCACTTCTTGGTATGCTTAATGAAGTTCAATCCCAAGGGTATGATTTTAATGAGTTACAGTATAAGTTTACTAGGGGCATCTGTACTGCAAAAGGAACATTTAACATTTGATTCCATGAATACCATACTTTTCTTCTCTTATATAAGCATAGGTCTTAAGGGTATCATAATTTCCTTTGGCAAGCTGCACATGATCAATACCTATGCAGCTTTACTTGGGGAAGAGAAGGTTGAGTACTATATCCATTTGCCTCCGAAATATTTTCATAAGTTCATATTTAATCATATTAAGTAGTGACACGAGGGTAGACAGCAAAGCACAATTTTTTTCACTCCATACAATTTTCTCTTCTTCATCTCCCTAGTATGGTATTATCATTTATAACAATCCAAGTTCATTTATAGAAAGAAATGGATGGCAAGAATATAAAATATTTCTGATGATACACTCCAGAGGAAAAAAAAAGGAAAAAGGAAAAGCATCTAAAATAGAAAAGTAAATGCATACTGCTCCATGAGCTGCTTGCTGATGACAATGATCAGATGTCGCAACCCATACTTTTGGGCAACCATCCTCTTTCAAGGCTACAACCTGGACCAATGTAGAAGGCAGAGTAGGATCAATCAACAATCTTGGAAATTGGGAATGAAACCACATATGAAAAGATATAACAATAAAACCACTGCAGTTATTGACTATAAACAAGATCAAACTTAAGTTGTCAGTTACTACCTACCTAGTGATTTGAATCAAAAAAGGTAGATGTTCAAGACTGCTATCAGCCTTGAACCCTAATAGATTTCAGGTTCGAAAAAGGAGAAAAAGGTATAGAGGAGAGAGGAGAAAGAGTAGAGAGAGAGAGCAGTAGAACACAAGAATTGAAAGGAATGACAGAATCTGAATATTCTGCTG